TTTGTATATTTATTACGTTTTTAGACATTGTAAAATAGCCAAAATTTATGATTAATAAACATTAGATACATATATGTACTGTTACATAGTGTTGAAGAGATTAGCTGTACCACCTACATGAATGAATGAATAAATTCTTCCAGGACGGAAACCCTACTTTTAATGCAGTGAATAAATAGTATTTACTGTACTCACTGTGATTCTCGTGGCAAAATCAAAGTTTGGTACACTACAGATGGTTATTAAGTTGTATTCAAACAATTTGGGATTTGGAAATTGGGATCAGCGAGTCACGTGACAACCACAGTCGATATAAAGTCACGGTGGAATGTAATGTATCAAAACTTCACTTTTCGCTACGTAAGTAGTGTGATGTTGCTGAAAATTGATCACCTTTATGAAGGGTATGTAACAGCTCTTTCAGACCTAAAGGGTATCTAACAGCTCTTTCAGACCTAAAGGGTATCTAACAGCTCTTTCAGACCTAAAGGGTATCTAACAGCTCTTTCAGACCTAAAGAGTATGTAACAGCTCTTTCAGACCTAAAGGGTATGTAACAGCTGTTTCAGACCGAAAGCGTATATAACAGCTCTTTCAGACCTAAAGAATATGTAACAGCTTTTTCAGACCTAAAGGGTATGTAACAGCTCTTTCAGACCTAAAGGGTATGTAATAGCTCTTTCAGACCTAAAGGGTATATAACAGCTTTTTCAGACCTAAAGGGTATGTAACAGCTCTTTCAGACCTAAAGGGTATCTAACAGCTCTTTCAGACCTAAAGGGTATCTAACAGCTCTTTCAGACCTAAAGGGTATGTAATAGCTCTTTCAGAACTAAAGGATATATAACAGCTCTTTCAGACCTAAAGGGTATGTAACAGCTCTTTCCGATGAAAGGTATTTATATATTCAGATCATAAAGATGTGTTAAGATTTAAAATTTCGAAGACGGTGGTATCCCTTGTGCTTAATGTCATTCGAAAACAAAAGAATATGGATCAACTTGGAGCACCGGGACCATCCAAGAGATATGTAACAAACTGTATTACAGGCACGGTAATCAATGTGCAGTGTTTTGTAACAGGTGAGAGTCTACAAACTCAAAAGTCAGTAGCAGAAGCTGTCCACTTGTCTCAGGCACAGTAATCAAGGAGAATTTCCGCCTGGAAAAGCGACAAAAGTCGCGTGTACACAAGTTTCATCCATGAAATATTCTTCAACTGTCGCGTAATTCGAGCACCTGAAAAATGAAACGGGTATTTGTGCTATTCCATATGAAGACATACGGTCAAGCTGCCGAACACAACGCCTATTGATTTCTGTACGACCAGACTGTTGAATCTTATGCTAAGAAACCGTCGTCATCATAAACTAGATGAAATATTGAATGCAAGCAAGAGAGCATTAGTGTACTTTAGACATGATAGTTTTACGACGGGGCGTTTTACAATGGAAACTACACTGCAGGGCTATTGTCAAAGTGCACAGTCATCAGAGAGAGTACGACCTGACGTACTCATCCTGTGTAGTACGTTTTAAATGTTGAACATTGTTTATTTATGGAACTATTAAATTAACGTATTTGGTATATTTTTTTGAAAAAAAATATTAGATCATTCGAATATTTACGGAAATAATTATATAATTGCCTTGAGCTAAATGACTTCGGAATTTAGGACGAATGTGTGTCACGTAAACTTTCCTGGCTAAACATATCGCTCTATATTCCCAAATTATACATACATAACGCCTCGTTCGATCAAGACAATTTTGAAAGTGTAAATAACAAACTACTAGTATTCGTAAGGCTGGAACCTGGGTTAATTTGTATGTCACTGGAAAAACAAACAAGCTTTTTAATTTGTATATTTGTCTGTTTTGAATTTCGTGCAAAGCTACACGAGGGCTATCTGCGCTAGCCGTCCCTAATTTAGCAGTGTAAGACTAGAGGGAAGGCAGCTAATTACCACCACCCACCACCAACTCTTAGGCTACTCTTTTACCAACGAAGCACTGGATTGACTATCACATTATAACGCCCCCACGGCTGAAAGGGCGAGCATGTTTGGAGTGACGGGGATTCGAACACGAGTTTTGTAATATCAGTACTTACATGCGTGTCTAGTTTTTTATTCTTTTAATCGCGTATATAAATATAAATATATGTTTATTTATCATTTTATGTTTAACAGAAAACTAGGACAGTTTGTTGAATTTTTTTTTATAAATAAACAGGAAAGTATTAACAACAATAAATTCATACTTTTAAGGATTTTTTTTTTATTTCTAATAACAGAAATCGGAGCTAAAACCCCAAGAACAAATCTCACCAAGGTACAAGCTACAGTTTAAGAATTGTAAAGTCTATAAATTTTTGTTTTAGAAGTACCCGTGAAAATAGAACTCACACAGTGTTACGAATACGCTTTCTATCAGATTTAACTTCTGTTTGCAAGACTTCCTCACTGTTTATTGAAGACTTATATCATTGAAGTGCATACATAGGTGTTTTAACTCGCATTGTCCCACAGCCTTACCGCTGGCGCTGTAGCAGGTTGTGAGAATGTGGCTGCTAACAACATATTATAGTAATACACAAGAGTGGTGATTGATAATAGTTAATAAGTTTTACAAGTCATATTATATAAACCATAACATCTTCGATATCTTTGTTGTGTACTATTATAGAAGGTTTCCGCATGCTCGGCCAACAAGTGGACATCTCGCGGTGCTTGATAGGTGCATGGTTATTTTGAAAGACACTATCACCAGTTCGATGAAAGAAATACATCGTAGAGTAAACCGTATTTCCGATGATTTTCTTCTAGAGACAGGCTAACATATTACATTTCTTCGCAATGATTGAACTAAGTTTATACCAATAAAATATGATCCACCAATCATTATGCACAGCTAGGGTCAGTGGTTCGGGATATAAGCTTTATCAGGTTGTTTTAACTTATAAATACATCCAAAGGGGAAATTTTGACTCATCCAACCAGATTACTTTTCGTCGGGTCCACAGTATATAGTTACTGCTACTCTGCATGGGCCAACATATGTTTCTTAAGGTAATAAATGATACTGCATGTATTGTTATACAGTGTTGTAAAACAGAGCCATTCTGATACTGCGTGTTATAGTGTGTTGTAAAACAGAGCCAGTCTGGTACTGCATGTTATACTTGTTGTAAAACAGAGTCAATCTGGTACTGCATGTTATACTATGTTGTAAAACAGGGCCAGTCTAATACTGCGTGTTATACTGTGTTCTAAAACAGAGTCAATCTGATACTGCGTGTTATACTGTGTTCTAAAACAGAGCCAGTCTGGTACTGCGTCTTATACAATGTTGTAAAACAGGGCCAATCTAATACTGCATGTTATACAGTGTTGTAAAACAGAGTCAGTCTGGTACTGCATGTTATACAGTGTTGTAAAACAGAGCCAATCTGGTACTGCGTGTTATACTGTGTTCTAAAACAGAGCCAATCTGATACTGCATGTTATACTGTGTTGTAAAACAGAGCCAGTCTGGTACTGCATGTTATACAGTGTTGTAAAACAGAGCCAATCCAATACTGCGTCTTATACTATGTTGTAAAACAGGGCCAATCTAATACTGCATGTTATACAGTGTTGTAAAACAGAGCCAATCTGGTACTGCGTCTTATACAGTGTTGTAAAACAGAGCCAATCTGGTACTGCGTGTTATACTGTGTTCTAAAACAAAGCCAATCTAATACTGCGTGTTATAGTGTGTTGTAAAACAGAGCCAGTCTGGTACTGCATGTTATACTGTGTTGTAAAATAGAGCTAATATGGTATAGAGTTGGTTTAGCCTTGCATGCTACAACAGTATAATATAGAGTGCATGTTACGTGTAACAATAAAGCCATTTTTAACTTTTAGTTAACAATAATTTGAAATGGAGTTATTATAGTGTTTTAAGTGTAGAAATAACGTAGAGTCGTTTTAGTGCTGCTGCTTGTACTAATACTGCAATTTAATAACGTGTGTGTATGAAGTTTAAACTGTAATCGCTTTGGTGCTGTTTAAACCATTAATGCAAACAAAATTATTCACTACAGGTAGACACCGGGAATATCAGCACGAGAATGTTATAGTATACGAATATTGAGTAGATTTCGTCACAACCAGCGCTTGGATATTAAGATAATCAATAGGAGAATATCAGAGCAATAAATATGTGAAAATGAGGGTAATGAAAGACTGGGGTCACGTAATAAAACCGTGAATTTCAGTGCAATGGTAACTAAACATTAGGATAAATAGTATTGAGATACTGTGGTAATTCACTCGTGGATTTCAGCGTAATCAAACCTGGATATCACTGTAATCACTTGGTGAATATCGAGGTTATAAATACTTGAATAAAAGTAAAACATAAATTTCAATATTTGTTTGTTTTTATCAAAACGTTTTACGTCATTGCACGCTTCTAAAATCATTTTTTATAAAACTGGAGACATCTGAAGCACGTGATATAACAAGAATAACCCGAGTAAATTTAAGAATGATAACTAAAGTTATTATATATACGATGTGCTTTTGTCGTTGAAAACATTTATAAATATTTATAAGTCAAGGTATTTAACAATGTTGGACCTACACACTGTAATTCTTTAATAATAAATGAGTCTGTCACTGACCGAACGACAGAGCTATCAGAGTTAAGTACTGATTGACCCACTGCTCACATTTTTAGCAACAATACATTACAGTTTGTCACAGTTAAATGGCCCGATATTTAGTAAGCTGTCGAACTTGACTCGCCAATTCTTACATAGTGTTAGACCTACTATTCGTGGGTTAATTTCATTGTTTTCAGATCAAGGTAGGTTTTCTGAATCAGGAAAAGCCTTTTGAAACAGAAAAACAATACACTTGGAACATACGTTAGCAGTCTGATGTTTTTTTTGTTTTTTTTTCACGGCACGTGTAGTATAAAAGTAATATACACACGTAGAGGTCTTTACTAGCTTTCCTCAGGTGTCATGGCGACTAGCGGAGAAGATATGGGTGTGGATTTGAGAAACTTGATCTCATGTGCCACGTATACCGTCAAACCTGATCTGACCTATCTTGGACAGCCTGTGCATAAAGGGTGTTCACATGCAACAAACTAATTTTCTATGTGTTGTGGTGGACTTTAATAGCTTTCTGGATCTGGATTAGGTAAGTTGTGTAATAAATTATCACTTTATTACCGTTGATCAATCTAACATTTAAACTGTATTTGTACCCTATGATTGAATCATCTA